GGCTGAGGAAACAACGCGATTGCATGTTTTTTTCCTTCACCACCGCCCTATCTAAAACAATTCCAAGGTGCATGTGATATGATGCTCACACTCTTATTCAATCCGCGTTTAGTGTTTAGTTTGTTTCCGCTATTTGAAATTAAAAAGGAGCCTATTTTCCTGCAATATTGCAACAACCCCAAAATTGGTAACACCTTCTCTGTAGTAGAAAAGCAGTGAGCGGATTAGCCATTGCCCGGTAGTCGGACTGATTATTTTTTTCTGAATAGATGCATTCGACACATGGACGGAATTCTGAAATCCGAACCAGCATTCCAGATTGATTGAAATTGTATATATGCCCTCTCCAGAAAAACTGTCTGCGTCGTCATCAAAGAAAAATTTAAAAGGAAACTTATGTTTTTCACTTTTGTGCACGCGAGTACAGATGWTGAAGCGTTAGGGCATACGCACACTCGTGTTTACAAGATCGTCAACGGTTTTCTTAATTAGTGGGGAAAGACATCAGAAGCGTTGCGTGGAAAGGAAAGTGCGCGTGGGTCAAAACAATCTCGTACCCAAAGCCCTTACTTCTTACTGCGCATGCTCGACGAAATAAATATGCCGTCCAATCTCGTACCCAAAGCCCTTATTTCTTACCGCGCATGCTCGACGAAATAAATATGTCGTCCAATCTCGTACCCAGAGCCTTTATTTCTTACTGCGCATGCTCAACGAAAAAAATGTTTATCGCGCAAGCGCAGTAAGAAATAAGGGCTCTGGGTATGAGATTGGGGTCRAACGTGAGACGAGGGCACGTTCATGGTCATCTAACTCTCTAATTGCAATCTGGCAAGATTCCTAACATCTCTTCGCCTTATTTTGCATTAACTGATTATTATGGTGAACATTTTTCTAAATTTGCTCTGTGGAATAGTGCAGTTACGGCGTTCAACTTTTGTTTAAATTTGCTCTACATAATGGGAATTCTTCCGATATATTTCCCGCTACGATTATGTTCAATCATTAATTTCAATATCATATATCTAGATCGTTCTAAAATTGCGCACTTTTTTATTGATATTTAATTGATTTCGAAACTTCTGTCATCTAAACGTTTTCACTTGTCATCTTCTACTTACCCGGCCAATATACGTGCAAACACGCCGACGTAGTAGCAAGGAAAATGTTTAAGGTAGACCTCGTTGTTTTTAAAATGAGGGAAAACAAGTTAAGGAAGTATATATTGGGAAGAATTAAATTAGTCACTTGACCACCCACACAAGATTTGAATCACGCACTTTTCTGACTTTGCTCTGAAAAATACGTCACACTCTGCCACCAAACAGGAAAACACAGGCTACCCAATCACTGAATTGGATTCTTGGGATGCATGTTACGTCATAACCGCCATGTTGGTTGACGATAACAAAGCATTCTACGCTACTTCTACTAGTTATCACCACTCATTCCTCATTAACTTGGCTTCCTGTTAGATCAACCAACATGGCGGCTGTTTCATCGTTATTTGTATCTTAAGYGATTTTGAGTCTTGTGGTTGCACCCACGAATTACGGAATTTCTACTTCAGGCTAAAGATATGGTACCAGATAATTTTGTTTTCTTTGGTTTTGATGTTTATTTTCTTATAAGGACAACAGACTGACCAATAGCACAGACGAAATAACCTGCAGCCAACGTGGAAAYCTGCACCCCACATCGAGGTAGTTTACAAACTTTGCCAAATGTTCTTACTACAAATATATTAAACAAGCCCTAACGTCACAAGCCGGGCGAAGTGGTGTTCGCCTGTAATCCAGCGACTTGGAGGCTAGGGCTGTTGGAAGATACGGGGTAGACGCGCACTGGATAGCCGTTACGAGGGCAGGGAGGTCGAGCAGACAGCGGAGCAGCACGCCATTGCGAAGCGCCTGCTGAAGCTGTATGATCACCGCCCGCGTGATAGG